AAGGGGCAAAGCACCTATTCGGTCCTATAATGCATAATATTATAAGGGGGGCCGCGCAGAGCTGCAAGCAATGTTATTATTTTATTTCGAGAGGTGAGCGAGTGAGTCAAAGCCTTTGCTCTAAAAAATGTTCCTTGATCACGCGAGTATTTCCGTTTTAATTCATGCACGCACGTCCAAATGCGTTAGTATATACGGCGGGAGAGTATTTCACGTGTGCGGCGGGACAGCATACATTACGTACACCTTTACAAGCGGGGAATTCTCAAGAATAACTTGAATAAAATAAAAAAAATTACTCAATAAAAATAAAAATCATTTTATCAGACAAGCCATTTCTATTTTTAATATTTAATTATTTTTTATTATGAGGATTTATAAAGATATTTTAAAATATGTTTTAATTGCATTTTTATTATTCTGTTTAAGAAAAAAAAAATGTTAGCAAACACGAATGACCAAATAAAATATATATAAATTTTAAGAAGTCGTCACTGTAACTATCGCATCACATTCAAATGATATTCTTTCTTAGTCATTGCGAAGAAAATTAAAATAATTATATTCTATCTGTTATTGGAAGAAGAGTTTTGGAGAATCTTGAAAATTTGCAGCAATTCAATTTGAAGCTGCAAAATCACGAGTTGGGAGGTTTTGGCAAAAAGCGGCCACGATTTTCAGCCGTGGCTGCACCCTAAGGTAGGCATGTGCAGTAAAGGGGTGTTCCAGAGAAGCATTAAGGGTGAGGGACAAGGGCGCAGAATCAGATAAAATGGAAGTCATATTACAGAGAGCAGTCTGGCTGCTGGAGAGAGAGAGCACAACATGATATTGATCAATATTCACGCCAGGCGTGGAAGAATACTCTGGCGCGCGCGGTGGCGGCCCCGCCGTGCTACGGAATACAAAGCTGCGCAGCCAAGCACTGCTCGGCGCTCTCGTCTCGCGGAAAAGCAGCTCTAGGTGTCTGCGTAATTTATTTTAAACACCATGGCGGCCGAGGATGTGCCGCGGCGCAGCCAACCGCGAAAAATCCTTCGCCGGCTCGCTTTAAATCATTCGGAACAAAATAAAAGCGGCGGGAGAGAAAAATCGGACGCGGAAATTTGTATTCGCCGCGGCGGACAAAGAGCTTTTTACCCTCGGCTGTGTTACTTTTTCTCTCTTTTTATTGTTGCGAAACACGAAATGAGATCAATAACATATGGAAATGGAGGCAATCGATGCGCATGTAAAAAGCGTGTGTTGCATTGTAATGTCAGATTTATGATTGTCAATTATTTACGGACCAAGAGATGACGGACGATTTGGTTGACGGTCTCATAAATATAATATCGTGAGACTTTGAAAAAGTTCTCAAAAACAAGCTTGTGAAATAATTGATTTGTCACATAAATTTTATTTTAAGTCAAATTTTTTCAGAGCACTGACCGTTGTAATTTTATTTATTTTCGTTTCGAAAAGGTTCTCTTTGTAATTCAAATGGCCGCACCAGCAAATATATAAAGTTGAGCAATAAAACTTTGATTGGGTAATATACGCGCCTGTTTCCTTTTTTTCGTTCCCGTCCGAGCACGAATGTGTATATTGAAATGCGAGCGAGCCTCGACCGCGCATTCGGCGGGCAAATGGTGATTTTATTGTTCCATTGTTTTTCAAATTAAATCATTTTAAGTTTTTTATTATTTCCTCCCGCGGCCGCCAGAGCAGAACAAAAACCGAAACGCGGCCAGGAAAGGGTTACATTCGCCGCGAGTTGAAAATTCGTGCACATTCGTCAGCTGATGGCTCGGAAAATGCCCGAAACCACAAAATGATAATAATGTGCCGCTGATGGATCACTTTGCGGTCGGCCGCCGCCGCCGCCGCCGCATTTGAATTATAAATGTATAATAATGTGTGGCCCCCAAGGGTTGAATCGGAGTCATGTACGTACTGCTAGACGAGAGATGTGATTTTGGAGAGATTTAAACGTAATATGCACGCACGATTAGCTTGTGATTTATGCAGGTCAGACCTATACAGCAGCAGACAAATCATACACCATAATATGCATTTCAACATGAGCCCAGGCTTCATACAAAAACTGAAATCTATTTCATTGTTATCATTTAGATTGGGTCATAATATGTTTGTGAATGCAACATTCTCTGCTAAAATAAATATACACTAATTCATATATATTCATTATATTCATTACCAATGTATTATTGTTATAAAATTAAGTTGAATTAAAAAAAATTAACCAGGCACGCCACCAAAAAACAATGCAGATCACTTTGGCAAGATTTAACGATGTTTATGACTTTGCTTGAGCATAAAAATAGCTTTGTTACAATTTTTAATGTCAAAAGATAAATATTTGAATCTCAATTTCAATCTATAATCAAATAAACTAAATTATAAAAATTAAAACAGAAATATAATAAAAAATAATGATACAAAATAAATTTTTTAAAATTATTTAAAAATTAAATTCTATGCTAATTTGTGTATATTCTTTAACTTTAAACTAAATTGATACATTTTTTTATCTTTTTAGTCAATAATTGCCTTTTGACACAATCAATAAAAACACTTTGCAGCTAAATAAACTTAATAATTTCTACATCAAAACAAATCCGCTTGCAACATCTGTGTCGATTTCCTGTAGTTTGAAAGTTTAATAACACAAATCGTGTGAGCAATAAATTTTAATCCACACAAAGTCGATGCTGTATCAACAGAGTGCCACCGGATTGTAAAACAATTTTTCCGTTTTTTGTACAATGCTATTTGAAACAACAGTTGGCGTTTATATTCATACAGTGCCGGGCATATTATATAGACGACGGGAGATAGATAGGGCGCACGCACAACCGAATTTATATCAGGCAGACTTTATCTAGCCTGCTCTGGTAAATTCTTTTATCTCCAGAGTAAAAAGCAAACCGCAAAATTAATTTATTTATTACCCCTATTTCGAAATAAAATTTCCATGCAACTTCAGCTAAAGTGACCTATAAATTTTATTTTTATAACTTTTATAACCAAAGGAAATAATAGCAGCACATTGCACTTTGTATTGTATATGAGCAACGCACTCGAATGCGAAAAAATTATCCATGCATTTCTCCCAAGGCCTCTTATGCAGCAATTTTATTTCCTGCGCCGAGCAAAGCTTTATATTATAATTTCAATAATTAAATGCACTCGCTCCGAGTCACTAAAGTAATTAAACGATTCTCTGGTGTACTTTGCTTGTTTATAAAAGTGTTACCAGCGAGTCCGTTTCATCATCACTCTGCAGATTTTCACAATTGTTGTAAACCACGGAGAGATAATATTGCAAATTAATAATTACACTGTTCAGCAATTAAAACGGCCGCACTTTGTTTTATGCTCTGCTCGTCGTTTAATTGCAGCTTTGAAGCAAATTTAGCATTGTAAATTCATAAAAGTTGCCGCACAAGGAACAAAAAATTCTCGTACATGGAATAAAAAAACTTTTCATATTTTTATTGACAGTGGTATGAATCTGCAGTTCCATCGGTCGTTGTGCGCGCGGTATATTCAAATGAGCCGTCATTCATATTTTCAACATGTGATCAGCCGCGGCCCACGTTCGCAAAACGCACATTAATAATTTAATTAGAATTCCACATACATATGATGAGCGGAGAGGCGAATAATTTATGAATTCGCCGAACACGAGGATTTTATTTGCGAAAAACCATTGTAAATCATTTCCTGATGAAAATAAATTATTCGCAGGCTCAAATTAATGAAAATCTGACGCAAATCAGCAAACTTTTGACGATATTGAAAAAAATAAATGAATATAAAACGACCGTATTTCCCCACCGTCATAATTTTAACTCTATACCGAGCGGCTTCAAGAGTTGGGTAAATATTTATATTTCCACAAGTGCTCTCGGTTTATTATATCGGCGCGGCGAGAAACCCTAGAGATGCTGTTTTGCGTTAAGTGTGATTTTGAGCTCGTGGCCCATCAAGTGCATCTCTCGATCCCGAGTACAAGCAAGGGTGGATTTTATTTGTGCTGCTGCTCTAGAAGCTCTGGTACTATAATAACCGCCCAAGGATTGAGTTTCTCAAAGAATCACCGCTCAAAAGAAGGCTCCAATTCTAAGCAACACTTCATCAGAAAGGGCTAATTATTCCCAAAAGTTTATTTAACAATATAAAAATTTGATTTTTCATTTAAATCTATATCAGTGGTAATAATTTCACTGGGGGAAAGGAAATCAATGCAGCACGAATTTTGGAAGAATTGAAAGGAACTCTCTCGTTCGCCTTCGATTATTTTACGGTGCTCACCAACTGTCCAGGTCTGCGATAAGGTGAGCATGCTTGCGGTCATAAGTGCGGCTCATAATCTCGCGCTCTGCGGAGGCTTAAACGCGTTATTGATTTTGACAACACGGTTTGCTCGGCAATAAATTTAACGGCCGCCCACATCTTTCCAACTTAAAAATTCCATATTTAACACTGCCTTTAAAACGAATATATTTATTTTAATGAGAATGAAAATAAAAGGATTTTAATAAATTTTAATTTACTTTTAGATTAAAAATTTGTTTCTATGTAGCAAATGAATTTGTTCTAAACAATTTAATTTTAATTCCAGTCCTTTTCTCTTAACTTCCTCACAAATTTTGACAATTTTTTTTCCACTTTCCTGCAATTTTCAAAATTCCATCATGACCGCAGTTGTTTCATTTTTTCGTTATAACAAAAAGCATCTCTTTTCCAACAGGAAAGCATATTTTCCGCAAATGCCACGATTTCAACTTTCCCGCCAACCGGGCAACGTCATCCGCTCTCATTCTAACAAACTCAATGATCATTTCCCAACAGATTTTTCAACCGGTCGATACCCATCTCTCATCCGGGAAACCGCGACTTAGCACAAAACGATCGCATTCTAAATTCTCCTGATCAATTTCCAAAACTTTTTCTACTCCTTCAAAAATAAAATGAAATTTTTTCAGACTCACCGTGGGATGCTGCTGAGCCGTAGGGCGAGTGCATTTGGGCGGCGGCCGCCTGGTAGTAGGAACGGGCCCTATTCGAGCCAGAGTCCAACGAAGGGAAAAACACGTCCATCTCCTCGGGGGGCATAATGTTGCCGGCGCCCTCCATGCCCGAAGACATGCGAGGGGCTTCGTACCAGCGGTGCGGCACGTGGGCTTGCGGACCCTGCGGGTCGACGGTGGACATATCCATGCTCACGGTTTTCGGTTCGAATAAACAACTCGGTTCGCACAGGCACTTTCGGCGCGAGTTTGCACCACTCAGAGTCGCATAACGTGTCGAGAGTTGTTGTTATTATTGTCACTGTACTTCGGAGAGGTGCTGCTGAGGCTCGCCTGTTGTCGGATTAGACGAGGGAAGGGCCGGCAGTGCGGTGCGGAGTTGAGTTGAGCTCTCTGCAACACAAAGGGTTGTTTTTGTTAGAATATATTTGGATGGAAACATAAAAATAAATAAAAGAGAGAAAAGCAAAAGCTCTTTTTAAAAAAAAATATATATTAAGTTTAGGATTCTCTGCGCGAGAGGTGCAAGTTTTTCTCCAGATTTAATTTTTTATTTTTAAGGAAAATATTTTTGTTACATAAGAGTTGGTTGCATACTTGATCAAATCAAGATCGAATTACTTTATCAATCAGTGCCCCACTTGTACCATGTTATAAATGAAGATAAGTTTTCTAACACAATCAGCTGCGCGCGACAACTTATCGCAGCCTGCACACATTCAGTGAACAAGTGCGAGTGTTTTCCGCAGAAGAAGTACACAAGTACCCACAACAAACTAATAAACTCGTCGTGTAAAACTGGACAAGTGCCAAAAGTCTGCGAAGAGCAATAAAAAATGATAACCCTTGCTTTTTTATGCACACAGGATGTACTCGAAAGTATTTTGCACTTTATCGATCAGATGCCGAGTGAATGATAAATTATTGACACCTGCTTCCACACATGCAGATAAGATTTAAAGTAATAATTATTTCCGATAGGTATCTGAGATTGGAATCTGAGATCGGCGCGATCGATTCGGCGGTTACGGACGGTGCGATATTGCGATCGGGACGCACTTTGGTTTCTCGGACACTCACCAGTCGGCTCGGTGCATTTTGTCGGACGCGGATCTGCAGGCGAAATCGGCGAGCAAACACGCAGACACTGTGCTACAGATGAAGCAAAAACACTGCACTCGCTGCGGTTGAGGCAGGAAGGCAACTAAAAAGCTTTATCCGAACTGGTCCTCGACAAGCAGTGTCTGCAGGCGGACGAGGGGAACGCGCAGAGGGCGTGAGTGCACGCCGCGGTGTGCTTATCGCCGGGGAAGGGGCACCCGGGGGCCGGACGAACGCGGCGGGGCGGGCGCTCCAACGCCGCGATCACATGGATACCGCGCAACCGGAGGGAATTGGATCCGATTATCGCGCCTTGATATACAAGATACACGATCGGCCTAACGCGCCCCTGATTTTCGGCTTGTCGGCCGAGATTTTCGCCATCATAGAAGATCTCTCGGGAAAGATTAAAAGTTACCAATTTAAAATTTCTTGTTATCACTAGATATTATTTATATAAAATATTAATAAACTAAGCATTTTATTAATTTAATGTAAAAAATATTATAGCCGCATTACAAGATTATTAAATTATAGTTTATTTTTAATTTATTTCTTTTAACAAATAAAATAATTTTCTCTTTATTATTAAATTTGTTTAACAATCAATTTAAAATTATTTTTTTAGGTAGTAGGTAAATAATCTCTAGAGATAGAGGAAAATGAATAATTCTTATCACATAAGTTATTGTAACATTTAGTGATTAAATTATTTTATATCACTTTAGCATGAGGAATTATAAACAATTATTAAAGAACAGTGATGTATTTCCTTCTGTTTGAGTCCCTGGCCGTGATTATTCTATATCATATTAGCAATTAAAGTAAGAACTTGATTAATAACATCTATACTATAATGATTTATGATTTAGCGTAAAAATACACTCGATATTATGGTTTCCATTATAATTTTAATTTTTATAATAGCAGATGTGCCACCATAGATTGTTAAAATTTCTTTTATGTAGACATTTAATTACGAACTTGTATGGAATGATAATGAACTGAATATCGCTTAAACACTTCATTGGATAATAAAAATAATAAAAATTCAGTTGGTCAAATTTTTAATTGATATAAGCAAAAGCGTAAAACTAAAAAGTTGTAAAATGACTTTTTCAAAAATTCAATGAAATCTCGCAAGAATACAAATATTTATTTCAGGAATTTGTTATAAAATAAACTGTCCTTATTAAACCGATTAAATACATTGCAATTATCCTAATTCATATACTCACATCTCATATTCTAATTTCACACCGATTATCAATTGAGGATAAATTAAGGAGATAAACAAGCTGCAGCTTATCAGATGGGGCAATTAACAAACGTCCCAATCAAAATACCATCAAACATATAAAACTCGCACACGAAAACAACGCCTGCCTCAATCCGCTTTCCCGCGCAGCTGAGCGCGATGCAATCTCTCATTCTGCTCATTGAGCTCTCAATTAAAAAGGTGCATCGCCGCGGCCAGCTTTGGTTTTATCGGGCGGGTGATAATCTCGAGAGTACGCATTATTTTATGTTCGCAGCGTTCAGAGGAGTTTTTGTGCTGTGTTTTTAAGCGAAGGGATGAAGGCGGTGCAGATTGATCTGATTCCGCCCGCTTTTGCCGGCCGCCCCACTATGCGCGGCGCGACTCCCCTTCGCTCGGAAGCCGCGACGGCTGCGCACACCGCGAGTCGCGATCGCGGCCCTCGACCCGCCGACACGCCGCGAGTCTCCTGGTCTCCGCTCTTGCTCACCGCGAGCTCCAGCCAACCATCAGATACGGACAAAATGGCGTCATTGGTGCACCTTTGCTCCTCCGAGTCGCACCTGAGAGCAGCGAGAGATGCCATCGCGAATTGCGAAACAGATTCGTGCCTCCAGTAAAACTGGGAAACGAAATAAATGAAAATTATGCTCCATTTGATTGAATTAATAAATTTCACTTGCGTTATTCAAATTATGATCTCATTTACCAGCAACTTTTAAGATTTTTAAATAATCAGAGACATGTATAAGAAGCCACTTAAAATTAAATTAAGATCGTGACGCTAGAGCTAAAGAAGCTGCGATATTTGTTTATCCAGAATTTTTTATAGATATTATAAAGGGGGTTAAAAATTAAATCAATGCTGAAATAGTTTACATGAGACCTATTCAATACATGAGTGAAATGTCTTTTTGTTCTTTATATGTGAGATTTTAAAATTAGTTATTTATATTCTTTCTATATGAAAAATGTTGAAGTTTTTCTCTTGATAAAAAAATTAATCATAATTATGGACATTTAAAAACATTTTGAAACATTAAATCTTATTCCAGTCAATTAATAATTGAATAAGTCAAAATAGATTACAATTTTTATATATCATGCAATATATCATTTTGCAAAACAGTAATTTTAATATCTTCATTTTTTCACAAATAAAGGAAAACGTCTCAAAAATATCGTTGTAAAATCAAATTTATAAAAAAGACAACTTCCTATTATATAAGTGATACTGCAAATTTTCACATCCTGCATCTTGCACGCACATGGTTTTCTTTCAAGCGGTCTTTAGTGGTTTTTGTATGCACTTATGTTGCGGCTTATACAACAAGATTTAAGGCTTTGAGTGTTTGATATACCTCTGGTCCGGCAGCAACATTTGGCGAGAAAGTGCGTGCACGCGCGCTTTATTGTGGCCAGCAGCGCAGTTGAGGCGAATACTTAACAAAAAGGACCACACCAAAGTCGGAGGGCTGCTGCGGCTTGCACAAATGATTCCCATATGCACATCCGCTTCAAACTGTGACTTCAGCAAATTTCAACAAAAGCTGCGTATAATCCGTCTGGCGCCGCTACTTAAAAATCTCTCCTTATTGTAAATGAAACCATGCACACAATATAGTCCTTTCTATCTATGGTCAACAAATTGTTGCTTTCGACTGACAAAAGTTTCAATAACGACCCACCACAGAGGCAAGCACACATGTAAACAGTCAGGAAGTTGGCTGCGGGAAAAATAGAGAGGAAATTAAAAACAATTTCAAATAGGCGTCCCAGCAGCCAACAGCGTTTTGTTCAGGCGCATATGGATGCTAATGAAATTTCCGATATGATTTACAAAAACGTGCACTCGCTTTGGACGCCCACACTCAGAGAGAGTAAATGAGAGACAAATAAATTTATTTTTATGCAATCTTTGAAGCATAAATGTCAAGCGGGTTGCTCACCGCATACCCTAGTTTCTAGAATGCTATGCAATGTGCTCATCAAATTTATACTGCGGGTTGCATAAATAGCATTATTTAATCTTTAAACAGATTATTTAAACTAGACGATTATTACAAATATTTCACAAACTTAAAGGGTGAAAAATAAAAGTGAAAATGACAATTTTAATGTTAAAATTTGTGTTAAGTGTGCGTACGTCAAATCGGTCTTGAAAAATACAATTTTATATTTTTCTCGCAAAAAACTAATTTCTTAATATAAAACCCTCGAAAATAATTTGTGCCTCGCTGAAATCCCGTGAGAAATTGTGAATCAAATATTTCCCTGCTCAATGAATTAAATAACTTCCTTCAGTGGTTTACCCCAACCGCAAGTGAGCTTCATTAATCAAAAACACAGCCTGATTTTGTTAATTCCCAAAGTGCTGGCCCAGCAGGTTGTTTCCCTCGGGAGAGTAAAATTTATAAATTATTAACAGCAGATTTCCTTCCCAGACCTGAGAAGCCTGAATACCCTTGTTTTCTCCTCAGGTATATATACTTGTGCAGTTGATTCATCCCCTTTCCTTCCTCCCTTTATGTTTGTGTTGTGAATTATGATTATTTGTTCCCCGAATTTGCCGGTCGAGTCGTCAATGAATTGAGAAAAGCTGTGCGCTGCAGCACGGTTGAGCTGGTCAAGGTGAGAGGCCTGACGTGCAGCAGGGGCTGTTCGGGGCCGCCCGCAGCTTGCGGCTGCACACCACGTTTTGTGGGAACACGGCGGGGGTTTGGGGACCCTCGCCAGGCAGGCGACAAATAAGCTAAATCACTCACTAACTAGCCAGAAAAATAAATTATCTCTTTTTCCACAGCGATGCTCTTTTTGTGTCCCACTCTTCACCGAACATAAGATGATATTTAAAAAAAATATATTGTTCGAAGCAAATTTTGAATTTAAATTTATCGAGAAAAATTCAATTTCAAGGTATTTTATACATTGGAAATGTTTGGAAAGAGATTTCTTTTTATATTATCTTTTTGTTTCTTCGCTCTTTTGTTTTTCTCGGGTGTAATATTTTGTGTTGCGATAAGGACGGGGAGGAAAGAAAAGGAGACGACCATGCAACTATTGAAAAATAAATGGGTTGTCGTCTTACTTAAAAAAGAAAGCGGCGAATAAAAGTTTCATTCCGCTGTTGGGAAAGAATAAAGGGAGAAAAAGAGCAGCAAATAAGAGAGAAAGAAGAAAAGGCAAAAGGCGCGCGCATCACAGCAGAGCGAGCAGACGAAGAGATAAGACATTTATCACAACTTATCTACAAGCTCGTCTATCAAAAATCTAATTAACTTTCCTCCCATTAATATAGAAGGCCGGCCGAAGAAACTTTTTCCTTGCTTCTTTTATGCCGACTCTGACTTTTAATTAATTTTGTTTGACTCGCACCGATTTCTGCGCGAGCCCTTGCCGAACAGTTTCAACTCAAGGAAAGGTATAGTGAAGAATTTCTGAAAGAGAAATTAATTATGTGTATATTCAAAATCATTAAAAATAAAAATATTCACTCAAAAAATGTTCTTTGCTTTTTAATTTAATTTAATAATTATGTCTCCTTATCTCGAAATAATTTAAAATAAAATTTTGTTAGTTTTTTAATGAATTAATCTATTTCAGATTTGAAATCTTTACCATTTATATACCCTCCTGTATATATTTAGCTCTTGAGAAAATTCCCCAGCTCTTATTTTCAATGTTTGTTTGCGTCTGTTGTTGTGAGGCCACTGAAAATAAAGACCGCGAATAAAGGAGACAAGCCAAGTAAATCTGATGACGAGATGACGAAGTGGAGATACACTTGTGTTCAATATCATTTGAGAGCTGCACTTCGCGTGTAATGCTCCAAATGTGCGGTGTCACAGTGCACTGA